GGGTCTTTATCATTCACACATGGCTGGTGATGCATCCCTGCCCACCTATTTTCAATTTAGACTAGTATTTATTAATAACCTCCACTTTCTTGAAGCCTATATCTTACAAGATACCTGCCATATAACTTAAGATGGGTTTAGATATTGAGAGGGAGAGAGGAGCCCCAGCTTTGATAAATGGATGAGCAGTGATGAAAAGAAGATATCAGAGAAGCATGAAAGGAGAGAAGAAAGAGAGCAGAGCATTAATCCAACACAAGGCTGGTAGAAAGAGGGAGCGAGAATGAGAGACAGAGAAAAAGGGGAGAGAGAGGGGAGGAGGAAGCGAAAGAAAGATAGCCTTTCGGCTGTGTTCTGTCAAGGGAGAAATTACACATTTACGGAGGTTTTTTCAAGCAACGACGGGTTCCATAGATCATACCCCTGGATTTATGAGCCAATTTTCAACATGAAATATAGACACGGAGAATCCATTTTACCCATGTTTACTTGCCTTCTCTCACTCTTTTCCTCTCTCTCTCAATCAAACCGCCCCCAGTGTGTGGATGGGTTTACTCCTGTAACCTTAGAGCGTATTAAAGATAGAAATGAAGAGGTTTTAATTGTGGCGTTTTCACCTGTGACAGTTAAGAAAGACGCATCTGAAGGGATCAAGATGAAACAAAGGTTTTTAAAAAGTTGTTATTTTATGTCTTTTTCCAAATCAACATAATTACACTTGTATTTTAAGATAAGATAATCCCTTTAAACCTTCATTTGTAATCTTAAAACCAGTGAACACTGAATGTTTTTTGGTTATAGAGATGCGGACCATAAAAAGAGACAAAAAATGTCAGAGAGAAATTTGAAGTAAAGTTTGTATGCAGGTTGCAGTACCTGAAATATTTGATTTTTTTAAGAGTCTACATCTATAAATACACCCAGTAGGCCGAGATACTCCCCTCTTCTTGGCTAAATTTGCATAGAAATGAATGTCTAAGCAGGCTTAACGACATAATTGACATGCAATTAGCAATAATATGGGCAGGGAACCTAATGAAGTTTCAGTTGCTGTGCCAACCTAAGAACGATCACTGCTTAATTATCATATTAATGAAGTTATTACGTGTCACTTAAATTAGATGACAGGTAAGGTAAGAATGTCATGATCCTACAATTTCCCCGGCAAATGTGTATTCAACACTAATTACCTCCACGTTAAAATATGATCTGAGAAGCAGCGACAAGACGCTTGAAATGTGAAAAGGGACCACTGTGGCATAAATATGCATAAGACGCAGAAGGAAAAAAAACAAAAACAATGAGGTTTATTGAATCATTGACTGAACCATCTTCAAAGTCACCTGAGGACAAACAACACAAATCAGCCTCACTAGACCAACACAAACGACGGGCAGCAGATGGAACCGGCGTCTATCAGCACTCTGGGTCAGGGGGAGCTACTAAAGGCCAACACAAAAACACATTTCCAGTAAACACTATGGCATGATTAGGTTGCAAAAAAAAATAAACTCAAGATGGGTCAAAAGAGCTCTGCAGCTCGAGGTCCTCCCACTCCCAAAGTCTCCTCTTCTTTCATTCCAATTCATTTCAATTACCCAGTCATTCCCACCTTCTTCCCCATGTCCTCGATTAGCTCAGCCTGGCAATTTACAGTTGATCTTGCCTCATCTAAGGCTGAGCGATGGTGGAGGCCGGGAGACGAGCAGTAATGGAATGAAATGTCACTCAGTTGTTGCCTTTGTCACAAAGATGCTGGGCAGGCCAGACGGGGAGGGGGCTGGAGAAAAGTTGTGTGTGTGTGTGTGTGTGTAGTCAGTGGTGCTTCTACGTAAATGAACAGCGATGTAGTTTCCTGCTCCCCCGTGTCCCACTTGTCCAACCATAAAACTTGTGTCTTCACTGTGACCACAGTAATGTACGCGGCCCCATGTCCTCCACCGTGTAACAGCTGGTGCTCTCGTCCTCATCAAGGCTTCTTCACCTTTTTCACTGAAGACGAGCTGGACGCCGACTCTCTCCGTTTGCGCTGCAATGTGACACACAAAACAATCACTTAAGGGGTCTGGCAGGTTTTTTTTTACCCTTTCACAGTTAGGAGATTATTTTACCAGTTACCAATCGATGGCTATTTCTAAAACATGTTTTCCATAAATAGCGATGGCTGTGCACGACACTGCTACCCAGATCATGTCCTCTTCCACACAGGAACTTAAACCAGTCAGTTGCTAGTGCAATGACAATGACAAGATCCCTCACTGGGTTCTGCGTCATCAGCATTGAAATATTATAAAAAGACAAAAAAAGATCTAATACAATTTTTCATATAAATGATCTCAACTGCATTGTTTGAAATGACTGAAAACGTACCTGTGAGTGCATTTAACTGCCTTTCAAGTAGTCACAAGGCTGTTTGCCCCTCAATCTAAACCAATATTTCTAATACCAATTTATGAGACTGATGTTACATTAATTCCTTCGATAAATCTGTATTCCTCCGGCATTCAAAATGAAAGCCGTGCATTTGGGTAATTGGTTTACTTGTGCACATTCAGCAGAGCCATCGCGTCGGACAGTGCTCAATGTTACACTGTAATAAATGTAACATAAAAATACAAGTTGCCATTGAACCAAATTAGTACAGAATAGTCATGAGTTATAAGTATTTGATGTGTGCAACTGTAATTTCCATATTACGCATTGATAAGACAGGAAAAACTTGCTTTTTAACTTGCACGTCCCGTCTCATAGACCTGGGACTTGGCCTCTAAAGATTTTGAGATTTGACTTGGTCCAAAAGACTTAAAAACCGCGCTGGTTGAAAGATAACTTCAGCCCATTTTTGGTGACGGTTTGGAAAAGTTTGGGTCTTACTGAGTTGGGGGTAAGTGGTGCTCCTACAACGTCAATGATTTGCTCCTTGGCTTCCACCTTGATGTCGTCTGCACTGGGCCAGGATGGCGCTTCGCACACTGGGGTGGATGCCGTGGTGCTGTTCGTGGCATTGAGTTCTCCACCCTGTGTTGCAGCGGCTGTCCCGCCTCCTATAGGTCCACCCAACATGCCTCCACTGCCGGCCTTCAGCAGGGCCTCATAGCGATGCCGCAGCATCTGTTGTTCGTATTCACAGTTGCTGTGGGCCTGCTTCAGCTCATACAGCAGCACCAGGTCGCTACGCAGCTCGTTGAACATCTGAACGATCTCCTCTGTGGGCATGGGGTTAAGATCTGGATCCACAGACACAAAGGCAAAAAATATGAAGGAAAATTGAGGCGCTTTTTAGTAAAACACCTCAAAACGCGTTTACAAAGGTTTAGAGGTTATTTGTGAGGCCATTATAGTAGAAGATGATGGTGTTACTGATGAATGTATTGGTCACAAACTGTTTGGTACTGGATCAAAGGAGTTAGTGTCCTTGTTATGTTATACTTATATTGTTAAAACCCTCTCATATCATTAGAGATATGCAACATGAGGACTAGTACGTATTTGTGCCCAGGTTGTGTTTGTCAAGAAACGGTGTAAGCTTACTGCTAATAACCCACTGCCCTGTTCTTCTATTTGTAACACATTTCAAAGATGTCAGATTATTCCTTTAAAACACAGTTTTTTAACTTTTTCTGGCTAATTAGACCTCGGCTGAGGACTGTGGGGGCGTGTACAGACTAATTAAGTGACATCTTCTTGAGTCTCCTTCTAGCTTTGGGTGTTCGGGGTGGGACAAATCACACCTTTATCATTCTTATTGGTAGATGAAGATTTGTGACATCATATATTCCCATCAAATCTACGGCCCACCTTCAACCTGAGCAGAGGTCTTATCAGCCAGAATAACTGAAAACATCTATGTGAGTGTACAAAGGCTTTAAGCGGCTGTTATTCAGAATTAAAATTCTGAAATTGTTCCTGCTGTACTGAAAACACCAAACCAAGACCATCAAATAGCCAATTTAGGATCCATATATTTTACGGCTGTTGTAGAGGAGAGTTTTAACTTTATATTTCAAATGCAGATTGCTAGTGTTAATTCACACTTACCCACTCCTTGCTCCAGCAGAATCTGCTCAATGGCCTTGATCTTCTTCTGGCCTACCGAGCTCGGCAGTTTCATCTGAATCACAAACACACACATGGAGAGAAACACACGCCAACAGACACACAAGGTTGTGATTTAAGGTGCTGGGGATATTAGGATGAACAGCTCCACCTCGGGGCTTTTAATTCGTATGAAATGCACTTCAGCGAGCCAGATCAAAATGTCTTTATCCACTGAACTCTGTCTGACTGATTGGCTGGAGGGATACTCCACTCCTTTAGCTGTGCTAATGCATTTCCCATAGAGAGGGGCAGCTCCTCATCAGTCTTGAAGATGAATAAGAGTCCCCTTTGCTAGGTCTTACAGATATTAGCAAGTCACTAACAGAATTAATCATCACAGTGCTAATGAGAGATATAGCATGCTCAAGTCAGACATCCTGGTCTCTCACATACATCAGCTGCAGGGTCCAGCTTTACTAAAAAATGTTTTGATATTAATAGTGGTTTGAACAAAACTGAATTGATGAATAAATGTCAACTACAAGTTGTTAATACAGAGCTGTGGGATTATTTCTGACCACTGTAGGTTTGTTGTTTTTGTTTCAGATTGTTCTTTCCTTCGTCGTATTTAAGAGCCACAGTGAAGTTGTATGTTGCAGAAGTCCTTTGGAGAATTTTGTCATTTCAATACCTCAACATGAGCTGTACTCACCCTCTGACTGCGCAGTGTGACGCCGGCTGATTTGAAGTCTGGGAACTTGATGCCTGCTGTTTCTGGAACGGCCTAGAGAAACAGAAAACTCTGATATGAGGCAAGATAATGGCAACCCTCTGAACTTTGGACAGACTTGACATGTCAAAATATTCAATCAATTATTATGGGATAGATCAGGACTGAATTTCAGACTGCGACACAGCAGCCCCTTGAGTTTTTTTAAGACACAGCTGTTCCATCGAAATAATATAAAATATTGGGACAGAGCTGAATCTTAATTCTTCAGTGATAAAGCACTATTATGGGGTTGACCTCTGTGACATCTCAATAATAGAAATATTTACGGTTGTTCCTTCTCTCTATTGATGCTTTAATAACTAGTAAACATTTCTCAGGTACAAATGGTTGGCTTGTGCGTTACTTCGCTCCTTCTGTACGAGTGCATATCATACCGGTTTCTCCGTTTCTCTCTTTTGTGGGAGCTTCTTCTTGGAAACTCTCTTTTCCGCTCGTCTTAACTCTGTGGTTGTGTCAGCCGCTTTAATGAGTTTCTGCAGATCCTGGGCCTTCTTCTCACGCTCTCTCTTCCTAGTTTCAATCTTCCTTAGCTCCTGAATAAGATATTCCTCTTCTGCCACCTGCAGGAAAAACAAGAGAAGTGCAATGTAAATATTTTAAAAGGCTGGAAAACATCTTACAAGGTTTGGCAATATTGCTGGATTCATTTCCCCACAAAATGCACAACTGCATTAAAAACTGTAGTTATAACTGGTTTGTCTCATCTTGGCTGGGGCAATATCAAAGTTATGAAAGCCTAACAACAAAATAAGAATACAAATCCAACTACAAAGTTACAAACTTGTTCAGGTGTGCGATTAAAGAGCTTGTCCAGTTGCTCTTTACGGCGCCTTTCATGGCCGGCATCAAAGATGTAGATCTTGGGCTCCGTCCCTGAAGCTGCACGGACCTTGGTCAGCTTACCACAAATACTATAATACCGTTCTTTCAGGTCCTCCACAGAACGTTTCTGAAAAAGCAGAAATGGAAGAATGTCACCACAAATATGGGCTTTAACTTACAGCATTGAGAGCTTTTGCAATATATCCCCAGTGAAAGGTGTGGCTGAGTGATTACTCTGTATTGCTGGTGGTCGTAACGGTCGTGAACAACTACGAAGCGCAGGTCAAAGCGCTTGGACAAGTCAAACAGGTGGTCCGTCTCTGCTTTAGTCCAGCCATCGTCGTGGAGATGCATCTGATATTCCTGCTCAGAGTACACTGGCACCTGCACAGTCTACAAAAGCAGACAGAAGAACAGAAAGCATACAGTGAAGAAAATAAATATATACGTCTCAACAAGGAGGAGCTGACAGAAGATGGGTAGCAATAAAACTCTGATATTTGTATTGAATAAGTGGTGAGACTAATGACTCTTTAGTCATCCCTACCTTGTTGAAGCGGGCAAACGGGTAATCCTTGCCCTCCTCTGCCACGCGTCTCCAGTGGTGGAAAACAGCCCCATCCCTGCGAGCTGGATTGGTAAAGGGCATCCACTTCCAGGGACGCACCTTTTTACAGCCCAGCTTGGCTTTGACTGTCCTGTAGCCCTGAGTAGTATCACTAGGCAGCAAAGGGGGTGCATCTCTGGGGAGTATCAAGAAAAACAGATCTTTGTTGAAGCAAGCCAAGTCAATAGTAAGCACATGCAGATAAGGGACAAAAGAACATAATACGCCAAACATCTTTGCAGTGTGTAATGTCAGAGAGACAAAAGGCAGGGATAAACAGTAAAGAGAGATGATGAATAATTCTCCACAGAAGTGAGAAAAATGCTACCAATTTGATTTCTATACCTCCTTTGGACAACTTAATAGCTGTAACAATAAGTAAAGTGGCTATAACACACGGGACTTGAATCATTGCCTTCAGGGTAATTCAGTACATTGACTTTAAGAGATACTTAAATGGAGCCCATACTTTTTATCTGAATAGAGCAGAGCATAGACCTCTCGGTGCATTCCCTCGGGTCTCTTGAAAGTCAGCGTTTCCGTTGTCTTCTTGGATTTTTTCTGAGACAGATGATGGAAAAACGGCTATTTATCTCATGAAAACTGGTTACACTCGAGCACAGAACAACAACATAGTCTTCTTAATATCGCTCTTTGTGGTGGTTTTGAGTCCCATGATCTGTATAACTCTGAATGTTAATTCCAATTTGGAGAAATTACATAGGGCAGGAATCGCTATTTGTGATCATCTCTTACCTTGTCTGAGTTGATGAGATCTTTCTTGCTGATGGGGCCGTCATTCTCTCCTCCAGTCAACTCCAGAATATCCCTGACATCAGCACCAGTACCCATGACTTATGCTGTTGTTAATCAACACTTCTCACAACGTAAATACTGTTTATTCATTCACTTGCGCTCACCCAGTTAAGCGGTACTGTCCAGCGAATACGCTCCTAGCTAAAGGCTAACGCTAACGTTGGCATTTCCAAGCTACGTTCACTTCACACAGAGCCGTAAACAGCCAAGTAACTATTTCGTAAGATACGTTCTCGTAATAATACAGTGAACTTTTCCACTATGTATGAAAATTATAGATACAGTAAGAAAATATTCACAAGCTATTGTTAAGGCTAGGCGAGTAGCTAGCAACTAACGTTAAACCAACATTACTTCCGTCTCCGCTGATGTCGCTGTGACGATACTGGTCTACTCTATAATTGACTTTCGCCCCTTTGAGCTCTGGCGGTGCACTGCAGCTTATTCTTATTTTTTATTTAAAATAAACCTGAACCAACGTGACACTGAAAACACCAGCAGGGTTGATACAATAATATAATTGTAACAATAAGATAACGAACCTTTACAAGCTAAATCAAGTGTCGTTCTCAACCTCGTCTTCATAAGAGTATAATACAAAGGAGAGCGTACAGATCTCATTCATTAAAAAGAAAACAAAATTGGAGCGTCAAGTTTGTCCCCATGTTATATTTTTATATTTGTTGTTGCTATTTACCCAAACTAAAATATGGAGGTTTTGACTCAACAATTTCAAGTTTTACCCGAAAACTGTCACAAATTGGCATAAAAGAAGACTCAAATTAATAAATTGTGACAGTTACAACAGCGTGTTAAAAACACACACACTCAAACAAAATGCATTTTTATTTGACACAAGTTTGAATGTTTTTTGTAGGTTTATTTGTCTGCATTCCGGGCGCCATTATTCTGAAAATCCCTATTGTGCGTTTAATGACCTTTACTTTTAAAAAAGTACACCGGATGTAGACCATTCTCTCCCTGGTTTAAAAATTCCCAGCATTCGTTGTTCCTGGTTAACTGCTCTCTCCGCCATTTTCGTTAGCTGGTGTCGCAGAGGTGGTTGGCGTAGTTATTTGTTGCATTACGTTCAGTTTTAAAAGGTGACTCGTGAATACCTTCGAAGATAGTCTTCGATAACAGTTTAATTTAGCAAGACACTAAACTGCGCGATAAGATGTCGACTGAGCAGGACGAAAAGCCTGACGTGACCGAACTAGCCGACGAACTGCAGCAGCAGGAACCGCCGCCGCAGCAGCAGCAGCAGCAGCAGCAGCAACCGGGGTAAATCCATTCATCAAGGGTCCTTTGTTGGAGCTAGCTAGCTAGCTAGCTAGCCGTAATGATACAGATCGACGGAAATATCGACAAAGACTCTTCTTTCGAAAAAAAATCCCCCATAGTTTCATCTTTACGAGGCTATTATATAAGGCCTGCATTGTTTTTTTTAAAAGTTTGTTGTAATAAGTTTACCTGGTGTTAGGATGGGTGTTTGGGATCCGTCTAATTACTAGTGGAATCCGTCCATTTTACGTAACTTTAAGTAATGGTAATCTATTATTTGCAGATTACTTAGCTGGGTTACTTGTTAATGTCAAATATGTTGGCCCTTTCTCTTATTTTCGTTCGCAAATTGATCAAACACGGTAAAATACTGAACCGATAATTGAATAATCCGGTACAGGCCTACTAACGTGATGTCTAAAGAGCGGCCTTGCCATGCGGCTGATTAGCAATTGTCTCGATTGTAAGACTATTATTGCAGTCCAGACCATTGTAACTGTGTTCTTATTAATATTATCACACAAACTTTAACATATATATATATATATATATATAAAATCTCTCTACTTATGTTGAAGAGTGGTTTGCACGATCGTATTAAGAAATCCCGTTAGGTCCCCTATTGGATTGAGTGAATTACGCTAATGGACTCGTTTTGCCGCTATGAACGAGCAAAAGTCAAAATGCTGCCGTGTATGTTATGTTTTCATTTGTAGTCGTTAAGACCGTACCAGCTAATGTGTCTGCAGACCATTTTTCTCTTATGTGTCCCCACTAGCTGCCTTTTGGCTTTGAATTTACATTCCAGAATCTAAATATGCTTAATTTTATACCTTTCTGGGCTCACTTACACTTTTTTTTAACTCTCCATTTACTGATGTCTTTATTCAGAGAACTGAACGGCAAAGCCAAGCATGAGCCCAATTCAAGCAGGAAGGAGAGGCCCCAGAAGAGGGGTGGAGCCGGGCGCTATGAACCCTATGGAAACGTCAACAAGAGATACCGTGTTTTTGTCAGCAACATCCCATACGATGTCAAATGGCAAGCCCTCAAAGACCTGATGAAAGAAAAAGGTAAGGTGTTTGGATTAAGGGATTGAGTCAGTCTGCTTTGGATGTGACAAAAAAAGATGCATCCTCCCAGGTCATTTTGTTTGACCACTGCAGCTTTTGAAGGGCTCTTGTGGATTTGTGCAGAAACTTAAGTTGTACAATGTTGCGTGAGATCTCCCGGGAGTTATGTGGAACAAAGGTTTTGGACGAGGTTCGTCAACTAAGGAGTCGCTGCAGACTTGTACAAGTGCAGTGAACCTGGGAATGAATATTTATTCTACTTTGAGATTACTAAAACCGATTGTGGTTTTTTTTTTTTTTTTTTTTTTTGTGAAGTGGGATTTGTATACGTGTTAAGCCGGTACACTACTGTGAAAATCCAATGGCTTGGGATCATGGGTGGCATATTGAGATGCTTTTCCCCAAGAAATCCATGAGAAACATTCATTACATTGCCATAACGTAATGATTTTTGCCAGAAACGAGGTGACAAGTTGCTCTAAGTTGCAACATGTAATAAACGTTTAAAGCCTGAGCTCTCATGATTTATAAATATGTAAAACTTTTGGAGACCTATCAAATGAAATCATTTGTGATGCAGGGACTAGCCCTAAATTCTCTTCAATGTACACTGTGGATTTACATGTGTTCTTATGTAGTTATGGGGTATTGGAAAAGCTTAAACTATATTATAAGTAATGCACCTAATTGGCATTTACTTGAATTAAACCATGTGTTTAAGAAAGGTACAATCCTTTTTCAGAAGGAGTGCCTGGTATTCGTTTAATGACTGACTGTGGAGTTAAATTGCATTTTCTCTTTTAGGTGTGACCTTGACGAGCAAATGTTTTCTCAGCAGATCTCCATGTTGTGCCAAACACGGCCATGCGTTGGAGTTTTCTTTGGGGTACAGGTCTACAAAATGAAGCAACTTCTTATGCACTGTCCTTGTCTCTAGAGGTTTGGTCACTGATGTCCATCCGTTGAACAGACGTGATCTGGTCGAATGTGAGGCTGTGGTCGCCGCTGAATCAAAATTCTGATATTGTGCGTTTTTAAGGAACAGGTCCACTTTAAGAACATGTTTGCCAATAGAGAAGTTTCTATCCCCTACGAGCTTGCCTTTTATTAAGATTATGGTTAGTTTCAAGCTGTATGTTTCTTCTCCGTTGATGGGCGAATGTATTGTTGCATTGGCCTGATGTTTTTAAAATGGCGACATTTGACAAAGTATGCACTTTGTCAAGAGGCATTGAACAGGTTTTACCTACTTGAAATTATTGGGTCAATTATCGTCCGGTATAAGGTGGTGTTCAAGGCATTATATCCAAATAGGCAGGCTGATGGCCATTTCAACGGTTGTTGTCCTCAGTCTATTGCTCTTGGTGCTTCGGGAGAATTCCGACAAGGACAGGCTAAGAAGTCTTGATTTTTTTCCCATAAAGACTCTAGCTTGCTTTTTGTAGACCTGTACCATATTGTGCTGCTGCTGAGGTGCTGGGGGAAGGCGCAGGACTGGCAGTGTGAGCTCACTGTCACCGGCCACCCTACTTGTGTCTGCTCTAAACCCCCATTGTTCTCTCGGCTTCTCTCCCCTTGGTGTGTGTCGTCTCTGGAATCTGATTTGTAGTGGGTGAGGTAACGTACGTGGAACACTTAATGGACGCAGAAGGCAAATCGAGGGTAAGTGCAAATACATACAAATAAAACTTGAATAATCCTAGACAAACCTGTGTTTGTCAGCTTTGGTGTCTTTATTTTCATTGTTGGACATTGTTCAGCTTCAGAAACCTGGTGGAGTGTGTGAGATGGTGACATGCTGGAGGCGTGTTTTATTCGGTGTCGTTTGTGGCACTGACTTGATGTCATCCCGAGGGTTGATGCTCTTATAAAAGGACTTCAGCTTTCTTTGTAGCCAATCCTGTGGGATTGCAGTCCGAGTGACAAAGTCCCTTCGGTTGCTGGATTTGCTCCTCATGAACTAAAGGTCTAGTTTGCAAGAGGTTGTTACAAGGCTGGTATTTGGTTGTTAAATATAACTCATTCCGTAGAACAGCTTTACTGGAAGTGGTGCCTCCATTATCTTAGTCGTGGGGAATCCTATCTCACTGTGGATTTTCTGCCCTTTGGATGTTGGGACAAATACTCTTTAATATTCACCATTCTTGCCTGCATTGTGCTAGTGACTGGGAAAAGATCTTAGAATAGTAATGTTATGTGGAAGTACAGAGTTGTGGCCAAGGCTGTAGGCTTGTGTGATGATCTTGTGATTGTGCATGAAATTGTCTATTTTTGCTCACATTTCTTTGTCAATTGAAACATCTATTTTAACAATCGTTTACTAATTTTAATTATTCTTTACTCCTTTTGGTGCGGCCTGCTCTGGTGTCTCCTTTGTCTCCATCAATAAAGGGTTGTGCGTAAGTATTTTATCCATTTATTAGTATTTTAAGCATTTGTTGTATTGATGCCTTTCAGATTGACAAAATGCAAACGTTGCGCCACACGTGTCTAAGTTATAAAATCATTTTTGGAGAGGGTAGTTATAGAAAATGTAGGAGTTTCATCTCACAGGATATACTGTGTATTCCTGTTAGTGTTGTTGAGTTTAGGACTGAAGAGCTAATGAAGAAAGCGGTGGAGAAGGTCAACAAGCACAACCTCAATGGACGACCCCTGAAAGTGAAAGAGGTAGGCCACAGCACAAATAACCACAGAAAACAGTGCAGCAAATCGATCAACATGTCAGTTGACTGTTTCCCTCAGTCACATATTCTTGCTTCTTTTCTTTTTTTTTGTTAGGACCCTGATGGTGTGATTGCTCAGAGAGAGATGAACAAGACCCAAGGCGGAGGACATCCAGGAGGCCATGGCGGAATGGGTGGAATGGATCGCATGAACATGGAGCGAATGGGCCCTGGACCAAATGGCTCCATGGTCAACATTCCTCCGAGCCTGATGAACAACCCCAACATCCCCAACGAGATCATACATGGTCTCCAGGCTGGCAGGATTGGCAGCACGGTCTTTGTGGCTAATGTAAGTCTTCAAGAGTCGTCCAGCTGTTATTTTAATCTAAGATATGTTATGTAGGTTAGAGTGACTCGTCTTTTTGGCCTTGCCTGTGTGAATAAGCATGTAACCATCTCTAAAATTGTTCCTTGTGCCTGCAGCTGGACTACAAAGTAGGCTGGAAGAAGCTGAAGGAGGTCTTCGGCATGGCGGGCATGGTGGTGAGGGCTGACATTCTGGAGGACAAGGATGGGAAGAGCAGAGGCATGGGAACGGTGACATTCGATATGCCCATTGAAGCAGTCCAAGCCGTCTGTATCCTTTTTTGAAAAAAATGTTTGATTTGGATCCCTTTTGTATGCATAGAATGTTAATTCAATAGAATCGCATTGTTTTAGAATCTCTCTGGTACGCTTTCCTTAATGATTTCACAGCTATGTTCAATGGGCAGCTGTTGTTCAACAGAGTCATGCACGTCAAACTGGTATGTTGCCTGAACCTCGCTGTACATCGGCTCACATTATAGCTGAAGCGCGTAGTCTGAATGCATTTACGTTTGCTTTTACAGGATGAGAAGTCTCTGCCCAAAGATTTTGGACCACCTGACAGAGCTGCTGCCGCTCTTCCCCGTAAGTACACATGTAGCTTTCTCCACTTGTATTTATATAAAAAAAAAAGATAAACAAATGCCTTATAATTGAAATGCTTTGAATCATTATTACCACAGTATCCTTGCTGGTTAAATTTAGTTGCTTCAGTTTGGTGCAGAACTGCACCTGTGATACTTATTTGTATCGAGTAAAAACAAGCATATAAATATCTTAAGCTACACACTGGCTGGTCTGTCAGAAGCCTCTGGGGCCTCGCTGAATAGTTTATTATTCACAGTGGTGCTTTCACTGCAGTTGATACAAAAGAATGGTAATACTATGGATATGTAATTTTGGTCCCATCTATTTGTACAGACACACAATTTTGTAGACACACAATTTTGTAGACAACGTCTTAATACTGAACCATTTTCTCTTCCCAGGTGGCCTGAGTGGTATTGGTTTGGGCCTGGGACCTGGTGGCCAGCCCATTGATGCTACTCAGCTCAACAGAGGTGGAGGAGGAGGAGGTGGCGGCGGTGGTGGTGGAGGAATGGGCAACATGGGCCCTGGAGGTAACTAGCTGCAGTGTTTTTGTTAAACCCTTGAATAATCTGGGTTCATACAAAGTTTCAAGTTTTTAAAAATGCATAATTTTAACAGCTTTGAATTTGAATAAACTCCTTGAAAAATACTTGATTTTCAACATAGTATCTGGTTTGATTTGCACAATCACTCATGTATACCAACAATCTTTTTAGTATTTGAAATGAAGTGATCCAGTGTTATATTATCATGGTCTAAACATACAATCAAAGTTAATATGAACAGCTGGTAAAATAGACAGTGACAATTTACATTGATCGCTTTGGATATAAAAATTCTCGAAAAATGTATTTATCGCAATTTAATTGATGGTAACAATTTACGTTTACATACCTTGAAAAAGGGACTCTTGTTTTACTCTTAAAATGCTGTCAAATCCTTAATAAAATATCAGTAAAGTCAGGGGCTTATCATCACTCTTCTCACTTGCAGGAATGGATGGAATGGGCTTTGGTAACATGGGAGGTCGTATGGGAGGCGGAGGAGGAGGTGGCGGCGGCGGCGGCGGAGGTGGTAGCGGTGGCGGCGGCAGCGGTGGAGGAGGAGGTATGTACTGAAGATTTTCAAGTAGCTGGGCCTTAACTGTATTTACCTTCATGTTCTAAGCACCTAGACTCTGCAAGAGTCTGTCAATTATGAGTTTGAGTCACTGACTTTATGATGTACCATACCAAGCCTGTCCATCCGTCTCTGGTTGCGTCCACTGGTATAAGACTTTCTTCTCCTCTGTTCAAGGAATGGATAACTTTGGAGGAATGAACAACATGGAGCGTTTTGGTTCTTCAGGAATGGGCAGAATGAACGGTAAGGAGACGTTCTGAGCACCCCAAAGCAGGCGTGGAACACTCTTCACGTTTTGCTGGATGTGTCTAATGGTTTCATCTCTTGCGTTGTCAGAGATGGACCGTGGGATTGGTGGTGCTTTTGACAGAGAGTTTGGGCGAAATGAAATGGGCATGTCTCGCAATAATTTTGGTGACTCCTTTGAAAGAGGAATGGGTTAGTATTTCCAGGATTTTGTTTAAATTTCCTCAGATAACGAATCTGATAAACCGGATCAGATTCAATTCTAACTTCAGCTTCGACAGTTGATGTGACACATTTTTCTTTTGTTTACTCGCTCTTAAAGGAAGCTCTGTGGGCATGGACCGCATGAGCTCTGGAATGGACCGCCTGGGAGCCAACATGGACCGCATGGCGGGGATGGATCGGATGGGCATGGACAGGATGGACCGCGGGTCTGACCTGGAAAGGCTGGGTTCTGGTGGTTTCGACCGGATGGGCTCAGGGATGGACCGGCTGGGGCCCAGTATGGACAGGCTTGGACCCGGTCTGGACCGTATGAGCTCCAGCATGGACCGCCTCGGCCCAGCTGGGTTTGACCGCCTAGGCCCGTCTAGTTTGGATCGCATGGGATCTGGCCTGGACTTCGGCTCCCCAATGGGTATGGATCGCATGGGCAACACCGGGATCGACAGAATGGCCAGCGGATTCGACCGCATTGGCTCCACTGGTGGCATCGACCGCTTCCCCTCCGGTGGCATCGACCGCATGAGCTCTGGCATGGATCGGATGGGGTCCGGAGGTGTTGGTGGTCAGTTTGATCGTGCAGGTGAATTGGATCGTGGATTTGTCGGGAATTCCTTTGGAGGAGCCGGAGGGCCCGGAGCTGGTGGAAGCAATGTCAGGAAGGGTTGCCAGATCTTTGTCAGAAATGCAAGTACTCATCTTAAAGGCAGTTTGACTTTTTTTTAACTTAATTTGTTCTCACGTATGAGTGTAATTAATTTGAAACACATTTTGTTTTCCAGCTGCCTTTTGACTTCAACTGGAAGATGCTGAAGGATACCTTCAACACATGCGGTAAGAGTGGTCATAGTTTGCAAGTACTGGATAAAATCAATTGTCTAGTCTACATTAATCTGACTAATTACATTGGTGTCCCTCCTTCTGCAGGCATGGTTCAGTATGCTGATATTAAGATGGAGAACGGCAAGTCCAAGGGCTGTGGTGTGGTTCGCTTCGATACCCCTGAAACTGCCGAGCGTGTCTGCCGAACCATGAATGGCTATCGGCTGAATGGAAGAGAAATCGATGTTAGGATTGATAGAAATGCATAAATTATTTGTCCGTTACATCCGACATTTCATTTAGTTCCTAAAAGTCCAAGCGCTCTGTATCATCTAAATTGGCCATAGGATATTCATATTATATTCACTTGGTTTGTTAGATATTTGTAACAGCGAAAATGTTATTTTAGTTAGTAATTTCTCACAGTGAATGTTTTTAGTTTTTGATTAAGTTTTACTTTTTCTTTTAGAGACCAAATTTTTATTTTTTATTTTCTGTCCTGCTTCACTTGTCATTGCCTTTTTGTTCTGTAAGGTGTTTTGATAAATAAACCTCAGTATTTGAAATGTGTTGTCTTTTGTGTGTTTTTAAATTGCATTGCCTGTTAATAATGGACTATTGTGGTTGGGGTACTTATGCTAGACCACGTATTAATATTTGCTCAGTTGTACTTGTTTACGATAATGAAAATGCTAATGTCATGGTGCATGTAGTGAAATGACGTGGAGTTAAAGCCCGCGGGAGGATATTACTCTGTCGAACTTTCACGAGCCCCTCCTCGTGGTTATAGACGGTCATCGCAGGAAGGTCACAGGCATTACATTCAAGATGGCGAACCCCTTGTGTCGGTGTTACCAGGTGAGTGCCTGGGACTTGGTCACATAAAATATCGGCATTTAATTACCACCAAAAGTTAAAGAGGCAACTCGAACGTTTTTTTTGAACTACCAGTGACGGGTAGCGTTGGACTGTTGGTTTGTTTTCATGTTGAGGCTGATAACGTAGCGTTAGCTAGCTAACTTGGCTAACTTAGCTCTTGGACTAGTCGGATGTCCAGCTGGTATTTGAGCTCGGAAGCGCTTGACATTATTTTCCTAGTAAGTTAAACAAACTTGGGTATGTAGATGCATGTTCTGCCTTTCCACCAAGCCTTGAAATAAACACTGTCAAACGTGGTAACTTTGACTATTTACTGCGTTTTCTTCCAAACATAACATGGCAGTTGCTGCGTTTATCGAGCAGTCTATTACAGTTTGTGTGTCTGTCTCCAGATATGTGTAAGAAGAGGCTCGGTGGCTTTTCCTTCCTCTTACCCGCTACTTCACTACAGACCCAATGTCTACAGGATGCGTGGGGTCCTCGCGTGTTCTCCACAGGTACGAACACCCTGAAATGCTTTGTTTCTTCCACACTGTTTCTGGGTATTCTGAAGCTGTGTGATGTCTTCCTCTGTGGAGATGTTTGGTTGGATTGTGCTCAAGGCCAACAAATCGCACTGCAATTAAGACACTTATTGATTTTTTGTTTGTTTTTGGATAGTATTGTAACCTTACAAAATGAATACACGCTCTACTGCCAATATTGGGTTCACCTAGTAAAAACTGAAGCGGTCTAGTACAACAGTCCTGCAGTAAATCCTAACTAAATCAGGAAGTTCAGTCTTAGGTGTCGATTTAACTTTAAGGTAGTTTTAGGAGATGAACTGTGCTGTTGAGTTGTCTCATTATGCTGCGAGGTGTTTCTATTAAGCTTGCACTCTATATAAATGGGGTGAACAAAATGATAGGAACACCTGCCAGTGTCTAAATTACCATAAACTTGAATCAACACTAACTGAACATAACTTTCATAAATGCAGGATTTATTGCAGGACTGCTTTATGAGACTGCATTCATTTGCAAAAAAGCAGGATCACTTAATCATTCACTTGATCATTAGGGCACACACCCCCCCTGCAGGTCATGAATTCAAGTTTAATTGAACCGCTCCAGACATGCTAGAAGTAAATCAACTGTACATGTTTCTTATTCATACCAACTAGGTAACTCAGTCATGTCTTCTGCAGGTACGGTATTTGTCCGGCGAGAGGGGCAGCAGAAAAGGTTTCATCGGGGAATTGCTGGAGAACATTAGGCAGGAGCTGAACAAGAACAAAGACATGAAAGACAACATCAAGAAGTTCCGGGAAGAGGCCAAAAAACTGGAGGAGTCGGATGCATTGAAACAAGCTCGAAGGAAATATGTTAGTATTTGGCCGCACACAGCATTATCCAATATCCATTTTATTATGAAAAGCTAGCGTTGGAGTTTACTAATGTCCCGCTGTCTGTTTCCCAGAAAACGATAGAGTCTGAAACAGCGAAGACCTCCGACGTTCTCAAGAAGAAGTTGGGAAACATCTCTGAGACAGTTAAAGAGGTAAATGTGACGAGTATCTCACTCAGCCTTTCTTTTGATTGTCATCCGATAGATACGATCTTCGAGTTGATCTATCCACCTTTACAATGTGTGTGTGTGTGTGTGTGTGTGTGTGGACAGGGGCTAGAGGAGGTCGGTCGTACAGAAATTGGAAAGAAAATCAAGGATGGAATGGAGGAGGCAGCCAAAACAGCGAAGACCTCAGCAGAGTCTGTCTCTAAAGGTGGAGAGATGTTGGGGAAGAGCGGTGCGTTCAGAGCCATATCACAGGTGAGGAGTCACTGTGCACACTGCAGATATATTTCCTCGTTTACCAGAAGTTGAACCGCATTCTTTATTTTTTGTTTCTCTTGAAACAAATACTGCTGTCTCTGTTGCACTGTGAGGGAAATAATTTGTCGTATTCAGATAATGGAAACTCATTGTTAAGGATAAAAGTAGGGAAATAGCAGTGTACTATTAAATATGATTGTGAAATGAATTAGGACTAAAGGGAACTCGGAGTCCTGTAAACGATATGCCTGCAACTTATTTGTTCTCTCGTCTGCTCCCTGTTCATCCGTCTTCAGGGCATGGAGAGCGTGAAGCAGGAGATCGGTGATCTGGGTCACACTGGCCCTTATCGGTCGCCTGCCAGGCTCAGGAAGAGGAGTGAGTTCTCCTCCAAGGGGGCAGGAGACGACGGCAAGGTGTTCGAAGCCAACGAGTACGTGAGTGTACTCTACTTTACCCCGATACTGGGAACATGAGAGCCACACCTCTCATGTTCGCGTAAATACCGTCATGTAGTTTAATCATTTAAAAAGAAAGGGAAATAAAACCAACTCAAGGCTGAAAAAGTGTGAGAGCTGAGAGTCACATCTGGTCAGGTACCAACAGACTTTATCTGAAGCAATATTAGGAAAACATCAGAGTTTGCAGAGATAAGCAAACCGTTGTTTTCCAGAAGAGACACTGGTGAGTCTTCATTCTGTTTGTAATAAGAGTAACGCTTCTCAAAGCTGAACCTTGATAGTGTTCCCAGTATTTCCTTCCGTTAATTGTAATGTAACCACTGCAGTGTTTTCCTTTCTGGGTTGATATGGTTAAAGTGTGATTGTCAGCATGAGCCAGCAAGTCAACAGGAACACCTGTTTTCCTCGGCCCGCCGTTTGAAGCATGACTCTGTGTGTACTTCAGGGAAGCGATGGGCGTGGTGCTCCACAAAGACTCCAAATGGTCCCAGCAGTGGAAGGAGTTCAAAGACAACAACTTGGTCTTCAACCGTAAGGACTAACTGATCTCTTTTTCTGTCTGTCTGCATCCTCGGTTGTTTACTTAAAGTCAGCCTTTAACGAGTGCACCAGCAATTCTCTAATAAGCATTTACTGAAGGAGCCGGTTCATAGAAGGTCCATCACTTTTCAGTAAGAGGATACATCTACAGATGATTACAATCAGCAAAATGATGGCCGTCCTGTAGCTCCGATGGAATCGGTAATATGGGAATTCATTCACTGTCCAACCACTTGATATTTATGACAGGAACAACGATGTCTAGTTTCTGTATAAGAACTTACTATGACTACTGAAGGATTTGCTGATCTCTCCGAGTTTATCTCCATCCTCCATGTGTGTACATGTTTGAAGGAGATCAAAGCCTCAGGTTTGAGCATAAGATCATCACGCTCTCATTCTTTCTTTCACTGCAGGGTTCTTTGAGATGAAGATGAAGTACGACGAGAGTGAGAACAGCCTCGTCAGAGCATCTCGTGCCGTCACCGAGCGGATGACTGACATCATAGGTGAGAGACCTCTGGTGTGATAGGGTGCGTTAATCACAGCTCCACAGCTGTTCCACAGCTTATTATGTGTTTGCTGAATGCCACGTGTTTCCTGTCCTCATGTGTGTGTTTAGGTGGGCTGTTTTCTAAGACGGAGATGTCTGAAGTACTAACAGAGATTTTGAAGGCGGACCCGTCCTTTGACAAAGATTCCTTCCTCAAACAGTGTGAACGAGATATCATCCCCAATATACTGGAGGTACTTTGGACCGCAAACAACACGTGTACAGCACCAGTGTCTGTGTAATAGAAGCATTAAATCCATTTGAGAATGTTTTGTGAATGAATATATCACGTTAGGACAAACGCTTGATGATGTTTATGTATATATTTACAGTACATATCTTTATTAGGATTTTGTGTCGGTGATAAAACAAAGGTTGACCTCTGCCGTCAGGTCTTGATTTACCCGTTCTGATGTGTCTAGGAAGTTCTTTTTAAGGTGACATTTTGCTCTGTCTCCATGCAGGCGATGATCCGAGGGGAGCTGGTAGTATTGAAGGACTGGTGTTATGAAGCGGTACGGCTGTTCTCTCACTCTCTGAGCTAGAAGTGCTGAAACACAGAAAGCTTCTTTTGTTTATGGATATGTCAAGGTTGAAGTTAGACATTGGTGTACATATTGGGCGGGCATGATGTTATCTTCTTTTTCTCCTTGTTGGGTGTGTAGACATACAGCCAGCTGGCACATCCAATTCAGCAAGCCAAGGCCATGGGACTTCATTTCCACTCTAAGATCCTGGACATTGACAATATTGATGTAAGTTTCTCCAGACTACGCTACACAGGATTAGTAATTAAGCTTTGACACTCCCAGCTTTTACTGAATCAAAGGTTAAGCTGCAACACTAACAGACAACCAATCAAGAGCCTTTATAATGCACAGCAAGGGTTTGTGCTTTCATTTGGAGAGCTTGTGGTTCGAGGCTATATGGTGATCTGCAGGGACAAGGTTTGCAAATACGCATGATCAAAGTATACAAGTCAGACTGGGTTTGAAGTCCTTGCAGACTAACCACAACCTATTTGTTGTTAAATATCTCTAGAGCCATGATAGCCTTTGTAATACGTGAATGCTGTTTAAATATCACCTTTGTTGGTTCAGTGAAGTATGTATGTATCCTCTACTCCAGTTGGCCATGGGGAAGATGATGGACCAGGGTCCAGTGCTGATCATCACCTTCCAGGCTCAGCTAGTCATGGTGATCCGAAACACCAAAGGAGAGGTGGTGGAGGGAGACCCTGTAAGTTACACACACACACACACACACAGACACGGTCAAATACACAAACACTGCTTTGATTTGATAGAATCGGTTGTATGTTAAAACTAAAGAGCATTTAAAACACAACAAATGTAAATGTAAATTAACTTTGTGGCATGGAACGTCTTAGAAATAATAGACCTTCTCACTTGTCATAGTAGCTCACTGGCACACATCGTTAATATTATCAATCGTTAATCGTTAATGTTATCAATGTCACCTGTGGTTTTCCTACTACAACAAGTCTAAACTTCTGCTGTGAAAAACATCCACACAAAGCTTTAGCTGGCCTTTTGTCATAATCATAAACGTGTTAGAACGTCTTATAAATGATGCACCAAGAATATTTTACGAGACAATTAAGCAGCTTTTTATTTAGACCCACACTAAATCTTTATTGGTTATAAATCAGCCATCTTGTGCGCTCAGGGCTCCTCAGGGACACCTGTGACTGGTAAAGAGGTCAACGTATCCACCAAGCAGTTGACATCCGCCCAGTGTTCAGATTCTTTATATTTGATTTGTCTAAACTCACATTTTAAGTGTGTCCTTCTTTGCTGCTCTACAATGTTGAAGAAGAATGGAACAGCTGAGAATAAGTGTACCCATCTGTTTTCCTCCCTCCAGGAGAAAGTGCTGAGGATGATGTACGTGTGGGCTCTGTGTCGAGACCAGGAGGAGCTAAACCCGTATGCTGCCTGGAGACTGCTTGACATCTCCGCCTCGAGCACCGAACAGATCCTCTAACTTTGATATGCGCAGATCACTCAGAGAGAGAACATACTGTACATGTACAGGCCCTGGAGCTGGCTGTGAAGGGGGGAGGGGGCGGGGACATGGAGATGAGGGACAAACGAGTGGGACACGGGGACAACAGGAATATTGTGGCGTAGTGTTGCTAAACACTGCTCACACTAGGGGGCAGTAGACTACCAACAACTCTCATTCGCCATATTTTTTTCAACGCCTGCATGGCTGTCTATTGAAACTGGTGCAGTGCAACCGTTAGCATTGAAGGGATACATGAAGGTATTTAACCGGGATTCAGCTCTTTTATTATGAATATGAGAAAAGAAAATGTGGAAATCAAGGAAGCCAATTTGTAACTGAGGCTCTGAACTTCAAGTTGATGTCAGAATGTCAAAAATGTCAGGCCCCACCCCCCTCTCTCTCTCTCTCTCTCTCTGAGGCGTTGTTATCTCGCTGGTTGGCTGGTCAGTGTGTTGTGGCCAATCAGTGATTTCCTAGATCCTTCTTTGTATAATAACTGTAATTGTAATTGTTAAAATGTGAGTCTATATTTATTATGAAAATAAAGAATCCTTTTTTTCACTCTAGCAGACATTTTTATACCTTCTGCCTTGCAAATGGTTAAGCTTCTCTCCTGATCTGGAGGATGTCACATGAGTCCTCCTAGGACAGTTGCTAATTATTACTTTTTTAATTAAATCCTCAAGTGGGACTTCAGTGTTAGCTATATTTCCTTTGGGAGCCATGCTGTCTCTGGGTGTCTTTTTACAGAGCGGAGCTAGAGCACTCATTTACTTCAAGTGAAGTTACATGTGAAAATGAACATGGCCATTTTGACAGCTTCCTTTGTCTGAGGAGTATCACCGTCAGCTGTCAGTCTTGACATTAACGCCATGTGCCATCATACGGTTGTGTTCAGATGAAAGGCTTTGACATTCTGTGTTGTGATGGGTTATAAATCACCGCTACATGTGTTCAATGTGCCATGACGTTGCCCTACACACCAGAGTCATGTGGCCTACAATCAACAACCCAAAACTCCTATCTTACAAAGGCTGAATGTCACCCATTTCCCCAAGTCTCACCAATAAGTTCTCAGCTTTGTCAAATCACGGGTCCATGATGGGCTCTTTGGAAATCCTCTGCTGGCTGTGTGGCCAAATATATTCCACTAGAGTTAAAAGCTCTATTGACAAGTAATTTGGATTCATGTCAATGACAATTACACCTCATTACAAGTCTTATCTAATATAAAGATTTAATGGTGTTTATTTTGTGTTGGTAACCCGACTGTTTACTTCTGATTTGCTGCAGGCAATAGTTTATATAAGGCCAGAGAATGTAGATTGCAAACAAAGCTAAATAACATTGACACATTTTCAATTGTCAAACCAACAGGAAAGTCTAGAGCGGATTTTAATTCTCTGTGTTTTGCCCGTTTTCACTTTGTAAGATGTCACCACCTCAATTAAAATGTCTGAACTTTTTTTCTACACTTGTTTTGATTGGTTTTATCACGCTATGATCTTAAAAGAGCAAATGCAATCTGGGCTGGATCCCCCTGGGGGGTCTCTGTGCTTCATTCGGGACATGTGCCTGAGATGCTTTTGGGTACAGGGTGCAGATGAGGGTACGATATCTCTGCACAGTAGCTGTTCATCGTCCATGGCAGCAGTCAGACAGCTCAGTACCGATAGTGGGATGCAGAGCAGCATGCAGCTCACACGCGGCACCATTGATTACAGCAGCCTTGGGTGAGAATGTAGGGTGGGGGTGGCTAATAAACTTGCATGTTGTGTACGTCTGCATATGTGCTCCACTGTTCCAGGGCTGTCCTGGATGATTGATCCTCTAGGCTGCTGAGTTGTGCTGAGGTTACAGCTCCCAATGTAGCATTCATCGCTCAGGATGCACCCCCAGCAACTCTCTCACACACACGCACACACACACACACACACACACACACACACACACACACACACACACACACACACAC